AAACAGGGCTGATTAAACTGTTAACAATTTAGTGAAATGTTTGACTTTTTTTTTTTAAACAAACAGTTACAAGGTTATATTCTGAAAACCCATGCTAAAAAGAACATAATTGTTTCAGTGCTAACCAAAGAACCAAAACATGAACTTGAAGTCTTTAAAAAAAAAAAAAAACCCTTCAAACTTCTCTATCTAAACCATTCAATGATGCAGCTTACAATATGCCAAGGAGGACTTAATGAGCATGCTAGCTTTATTTGATAATTTCCCATTCAAAGGCAGAAGGAAAGAACTCTAAGGATCCATATATTTTATATATCATCAGCTCTATATACAGGTCTACCAGTACTTGGTTATTAGTTAACAAACAAAAGGTTTGCTAAAAGTAAAAAGCCCAGGTCTGAATGACTGGGTTTAATTTAAGACTAGGCAAAAGAGCAGTTTTTGTTTCCTTAACATTGACCGTTCCATCAACTTCTGTTGTTCCCCCTCAAGGCCTGAGCCACAGATTTGAAAATCAAGCTCTGATCAGGAGTATCAGCTGCCCCTTTAACAGAGTATCTCAAACATCTTACAACACATTCTGGACCAGAGTGCCATATACTGCAAAAACCACAGGGCAGAGGTTTGGCCAGTTTACAAAAAGGTCTATTCTGGGGCCTCTGGAAAGCCTCCCTTCTAAATCTCAAGGCACCTAGTCACATTGTAAGACAGCCAATGTTTCACAGCTATGTGCTTGCCCTTCATTTGACAGCCATTTAGCAAGCGGCAGAAGCCTTGCCTAGCAACAAAGTTTATTACTCCTTATCTTTTAGGTATTCTCTTAAGTCTAATCTATGCCAGACTTCAGGTATCACTGCATGACAATTTGGTCCTAGTCTTAATATTAGCATTTTTCTTCTAGTCCTCAAAGGCAAAAGAAACTGCTATTCTTTCCTATCCCTCCAAAACTGGGAAGCATAGATAAAGTTTAGATAGTAAGAACTTCTACATCAATTGCTAAAACAGAGAGAGGGGGGAAAAAAAAAAAAACCCACTCACAAACCTGTAACAATACAAGGCTGTTCAAGAATTCTGCTCACTTTTCCCGTAAGACCTGCTGCAATTAGTGCTTGTTATGAGAGGCAGCAAAAGGAGCACGAGATGACTTCAAGTATTCCTCCAGGCTGAATTTGGGGGCAGCTGGTACATCAAGGTGCTAAAGCTCCAGAACAGGGACAGACGCGGCTGTATCCTGTTAACAATCAAAGCAAAAATGTTCACCAATATCAGCTTATCTATCTGCAAGCACACTCTAGAACAGCTACAGACTGACTTTATATAGCATATGAAATCTGATGGGGCACTATTACTATTTAAATATTAGTAGTGAGCATGCAGCGAGTTCAGGGCACTTCCTGTTTACTTGAACTTGTACTAAAACACCAGCAGCATTTCTGTCTTATCTTTCCACTACTTGATCCAGTTTGAGAACAGGTAGGTGCCTTACGTTCTATATTACATGAAAAAAGCTGTAGGTCAGGATCTGGTCATCCATTTGCTTTAGCTTCTCAATTGAAAAACCAAAAATCAGGGGCAGGAGGCAGGGATGGGAAAAGCCCAAAGCTACTTTTGGGCCAGGAAAGGAAACTCATCTGTCAGTCCAAGCTGGGAAATTTTGCTTGGGCCACATTCAATAGCGGTTGGCTCCCTTGCTCTGGGTCATTAATGACCCCAGGAATGGTAGTTCTGTCCTGTCCATCCCTGTGGATTAGCTCTCCAGGGCTGCCTGGTGCCTTCCTTGCTAGTTCACACACTGCACTTCACAGTGGGAAACGCGCATGCAGCAGGCAGTGCAACTCCGAGGGGGGGACAGCAGGTTGCAGGACGCAAGTGACAGCTTGCCTGAGGTGCCACAGCCGAGCACCAAGTCAAAACCTGTGCTTTTAGTTTTCCCATGTTTCCAGTTCAACAAGAAAACTGATTCCAACTCTGATTCAGGATGAAAAATACCCCCAGTACTGTAATTCTGGGAGACACACGCCGACTGATTTTTTTGTTGTTGCTTAAATTGTCAGTTCTACCGTCAGCACATCTAAGAACTCTGTTTACATATCAAATATATAAGTTGGAATCAACTGCACTAAAGCCTGACCTCACTAAGCCTCATTTATACAACTGAAAAGAAAAACATCACCCAAAAAACTACAGCCTCTCTTGAATCACAGGCAGCTGAATCTTTATCCAAAAGTCTCATATTAAACACAAATCAAAGTTAGTGCTAACTGGAGTTGCTATTGCATCTGCACAGCTGATTACCAGATGGGGAAACTATGTCTTTTTGGAAAGGCTGACGTAGTTTGAACAGCAATGAAAGCAGTAACAATCATGGATACAGCCATATATCACATCTTTTATGCAGCAATGTGGGCACATGGCTGAATAAGAGGGGGAAGGGAAGA